TATATATATATTCTTTTGTTTGTAATTAAAAAAATGCAATAAAAAAATTGCTAAGTTTTTCCCTTTGTATTTTTTTTTTCGCTAGCAATAGTGAATTGGGACACGCCCAAGTGCACTTGTGCCATACGCTTTACACCATGCACTTAGATCATTAAAACAGGGCCCTGAACGTTTATAAAATGTTTATTATAAATCATGTATTCATCTAGCCTGGATGCCAGCCCGAACTCCGCCCATATTCTTTCTTGAATATGAGTATGAAGTCAGGCTAGCATTCATCAGGAAACACAGACTTAAACAGATTGTAAGTGCAACACAATGGGATTTTATTGATATAATATTAAGGTTAGATGACGGGTGAAATGCAAAATTTGAGAATACAGCAGTTCGCGGTAGGATGAAGATTAGGATGAAGGATCCACCAGGGGTGAGAACGGCCCCACTGCCCCCACACACATACTTTATTATACCATGTAGATATTCTAATGACTGGTCGTCTTTCTCTTACAGATGTGGATATGCAACTTGGATATGCAGGAGCAACAACAAAGAGGAAACACAGGAGGTAAGATATGCAGTATGAATCATGCATGTAGTCCTACGTGAGAGTATGGATGCCTACCCACATAGCAAAATTTTTCTGGCCCAGCTCCGGCCCACACAATCACTTTTCCCTCGGCCCAAATACCGCAAAGAATGACGGTACTGAAGTGGCCCAGAACTGGATTATAGACAAGGGTCACACATGGGCCATAACTGGCCCGAATCTCAGCCAGTTAATCACCCTTAACTGGCCCTGAACTGGGCCAAAACAGGTTTTATTATTTGTACCAATTCTCAGCCATAAGTTAACCATATCGACACCACTCTTTAACCAGAAACCCCAAAACTGAGCCATAACCCACCCTAATCTTACCCAAACCATATGAACCCAATCCTCGGCCCAAGTACCGCAAAGAATGACGGCGCTGAGGTGGCCCAGAACTGGATTAAAGACAAGGGTCACACATGGGCCATAACTGGCCCGAATCTCAGCCAGTTAATCACCCTTAACTGGCCCTGAATTGGGCCAAAACAGGTTTTATTATTGGTACCAATTCTCAGCCATACGTTAACCATATCGACACCACCCTTTAACCAGAAACCCCAAAACTGAGCCATAACCCACCCTAATCTTACCCAAACCATGTGAACCCAATCCTCGGCCCAAGTACCGCAAAGAATGACGGCGCTGAGGTGGCCCAGAACTGGATTAAAGACAAGGGTCACACATGGGCCATAACTGGCCCGAATCTCAGCCAGTTAATCACCCTTAACTGGCCCTGAATTGGGCCAAAACAGGTTTTATTATTGGTACCAATTCTCAGCCATACGTTAACCATATCGACACCACCCTTTAACCAGAAACCCCAAAACTGAGCCATAACCCACCCTAATCTTACCCAAACCATGTGAACCCAATCCTCGGCCCAAGTACCGCAAAGAATGACGGCGCTGAGGTGGCCCAGAACTGGATTAAATACAAGGGTCACACACGGGCCATAACTGGCCCGAATCTCAGCCGGTTAATCACCCTTAACTAGCCCTGAACTGGGCCAAAACTGGTTTTATTATTGGTACCAATTCTAAGCTAACCATTTCAATACCACCCTTTCAAACCCCCAAACTGAACCATATCCCAGCCTAACCTTACCCAAACCATGTGAACAAATAAGTCACAGAAAAATTCTATATTTTATTCAATTTAAATTTTATTTAACAATAATACCACAAATAAATATTACACCTAGAATTGTGTAACAGTGTGAAGGCTATTTTATTTTGTACATTCCAAGTGTAACATCTTATTACAACCTGTAAAAGCCCTTCTTCTCACATTGCTCCTCTCATTGTAACTCCAATTACCAGCCATACCAACAGTCTGTCAAGTTTTCTGGCCCAACCAGTCCTGTAAAAAAAAAAAAAAAAATTAACATTGAAAATGCATCAACTATTCCAGATTTACCAATATAGGATACTAATGTAGCTCTAAAACTCATTTGTATTAATCATCTTGTTAGATCATGGAAAGTGAGTGCCTTAGGCCAGAGTTTCAACTCCTTATAGTCTTTAGAAATAAAATAACATCCACTCAAACAAACAGACAGGAATGGGGGAGCAACTTACATATCATCAATAATTAAACAATATGATAGGAGGGGGAAAAGACAACTTTATAGAGTCGTTCATTCCTTATAATGCCCAATATGTTGGAAGAAAAACATTGCCATGCGTCAATGGTTAGCAAATTGAAAAGTTGCCAATTGTTTATTGCATTTAAATTAACCTCTAAACATTACCCAGGTTGAGAACTATTGTTTTAGACAAAAAATTATGAAAAAAAAAATTATGTAATTATGTATTATATAAAAATTATGTGATCAATTTCATTCTTTCAATGTAGATATTTTAATAGTACAGTATTATTATTTTCTCTCAATCGCCTACGAATATAGCATACTGAAATGACTAGCAATACATGACAAGCAAAAATAAATTGCAGTCTGTGATCACAAATAAAAAAACATGTACTTTTCATGTGAAACGCCACGATTAGATTTAGATATCATACAATTATACAACCACTGAATCACTTTCAGCTTTATAAGTCAATTGCGGTTGCTGGATTTGCTGTGATCTTCCTATAATTTTAAAAGCATTAACATTACATTGTTTCGCACACATGAAGCACAGTCCCTAGGACGTTCCGCACCGGTCTATCGCACATGATAGCACCCTGTTCGCGTCTGTATAGGCATTCTCATGTTCAGGGGCAACTGAATCAGCTACCAGGCAAAAGTTCACTTCAATAAAGAAAAAAGTGGCATCCGAGTTTGAAATCAGGTATTAAAAAAGCGCCAAAAAGAGAGTGAACTTCACTTACCCGTACAGCGGTTGTCTGAGATGTCGTCTTCTTCTTCAATCTTCAGCGGGAGAAATTTCAAAAGACGCATCACGTGAACCAACCAGAAAAGCTGCTGTTACCATGGAAATCGCGCCGAAATAAAACAATAGTTGACTGCTGTTTTAAATAAACTGTTATTTCGAAAAAAAAGAAAAAAAAATCCAGATATTAAATTTTTAACATGATTTTGTGGTGCTTAAAATAAAAAGTATGGAAAACTTAGACTTGGATGTGGATTTTTTTTTTTTTTTTTTTTTTTTTTTTACAAATTTATAAAAAAAAAAACAAATTCAAATAAATAATAGGTTTAATACTTAAAAAAATCATAGGTCTAATACTTATCATGTTAGTAAATGTATATTTTTTAATGATACAGCATTTTGTAAACATTGCTGAAAACTAAATACTATATTTATTCATTATTAATCATTTTTTAAACAATTGGACAGATATTTTTTCACTGACTCATTTAAGTCAATTTATATTATTATTATTTATTATTAAAATCTTAACACCTTTTTCAGAGGGGTCGGGGTGGGGTATAATCTTGCCTTGAAAATATAGTAGCAGGCTTATAATTGTCCAGTACACAGAATATGGCCCACAATCGCTACACTGATCTGGGCCACATACCTCCCATCCACAATCGGCCCAAAAGTTGTCTGCCGTCATGCACTGCCATCATTGCCACACTTGGCCCACAGTTGGCTGACAAGATGTGGGCCACACACCTCCCATCCACAATCGGCCCAGAAGTTGTCTGCCGTCATGCACGCAGTGCCATCATTGCCACACTTGGCCCACAGTTGGCTGACATGATGCATGCCATTGCCGGCAACACGCCAGCAGTGCCATGATGAGGCCACATTTGGGCCAAGTCTGTTTGCTATGTGGGTAAATGTTGTCCTGCTGATGAGGGTGATTGATGGCTGGGGCTGGTGGTGATTGAGTGTGTGCAGGTGGGAGTCAGGAGGGATGCTGGGAAACGTAGTACTGCAGTGTCTGGAGATCATGACAGCATTGCGAATTCCCCCTTTTATACATGTAAACCACAGCTTACATCTGATATCTCCTTCCCAGACCTCCTTTTTACAATATATTGTAGCTACTGAGGGCTCTCAGATCCCATAGAATATCAAAATAAAAACACTGCTTTCTCCTCAAATTATTTATTTTTGTATCTTGCATTACTTTGTATTGATTACATAAATGAAATACTTTACAGACTTCTCCATCTGCTTCCTTTAGGAAAATGCTATTTCCTAAGGAAGTCCAGTCAAGACGCATCAAGCTATTACCCTTAATCCCTTCAGGGCACTTAATTCAGCTACACAGCAGAAGACTGTTAAGAAGCAGAGAAACAAGCACACCTACGTGAAGGCCTCGACACAAGGTCTTCTCTCTTTTTTGAAGGAAAATAGTCAGGACATTGAAGGTCTAAGGGATATGGGGAAGTATGTGACGATGCTTTATATGTGTCCTCACAAGTTGATTTATTTACGTTTCTACTATTCACATTGACTAACTCAAGCGAGCACCAATGGAGTACAGCAGGCGGATACATCCCTTTGGGTGACATGTTGTGGAAATAAAGCTTCTGGGACTTAGAAGAGGAAACCACCAGGTGAGTTTTACCCATGTTTTGGTTGTGTATCTTTGATCTGTTATGCTGAAACCTTTTATGGTTTAATTGTTTCATGACACATAAAAGGTACTAAAAGATTTACAGCTGATTTAATAGTGATCTATAAAAAAAACACTTTTTTTAAATGGGCAATTTTTAGTATGGGATAAATTACGCTTTGAATATGTCTACATGTCTTACGTTCTTTGAAGAAAAGTTTCTATACAGAACCGTAAAGGCTTCATGAACCTTTAGTTTATTCAAACATTTAGTTTGAATTAATTAAGTTGGACTTTTATGAAATAAACAGCTTGTAAACATACATTATCACTTGACAAAATTGAAAAAAAAAAAAATATTTACTGAATAGAATATTTTTGGCGTAAAGGGAACTAGCATGTCCGCTAATACACGTGTAAGTGTCTTGTAATTGTGTCTGGTGAGCTAATGAATAACCTTCTTTACAAACTAGTCCATAAATCCATAATCCCTAGATATTCAGGATTACCTTAAAAAAAAATAAGAACACTCCAAAAATGTTCACCTCTGAGTCCTCGCGATTTAAAAAAGTGGGAGATAATTAGCCATATTTTTTAAACTATTTGAAGAAATAACAAGCTTATTTAGATTGAGGCTTTGTTTGACAGTTGAAGCACAGGTGCGTGTTGACGTCGTCTGCTCTGTAAGGAGGATTGAGCCCAGGGCAAGAGAGCAATGACCTCAGATTAACTCGCTCTCTGGATCTCATTAACATCTACAACAACATCATATAGGTGTAGCCTATATTCATGTAAAAAGCTTGGCAAAATTGTACTAGATTTTTTTTTTTTCTCATCTCATCTGCAATATGATTTACTGCACTTAGAAAAAGGGGAGCTGTAACTGGGGTGGTAACCTTTACACTTTAGGTACTGGATTTTAGTATTTACTATGAATAACATTGTGTATTACTGAATTAAGTGTTGTTTATTTAGCAGTTAAAAATAAAATCGTGATGTGGTTTGCATTAGGCATAGATATTGTGCATGATTCATAAAGTCTCAAAGGTGTTAAAAGATGAGATGAAAAGTGCTTGTTATACTGACTTTCTTATGTTCTGCATTCAGGAGAAGCGATGGGGTGTGGTGTCACAAAAAACAATGCATTCAATAAAAGATATGACAAAGGTAATATGTTATACATAAAAACATGGATATGAATGGCTAGTTTAAATTAAAGAATGATATGTTGAGTACTGTTTTAAATTTAAATGTAAATTTAACTTTATCTTCTTAAAACACATGGGCATGTCATCCCAGGTGAGATTTTGGCAGTCCAGCAAATCTTGTGGAAAGCCTTGTTTATCTCTCGCACCTATAATACGGCTGTCTGGTGTTTCTGTACAATGTCAATATAAGTAACTCATTTACATTCTAAACATGCCTTGTTTTTCATGCATGTCTGCAGTAGCCACAAGTAAGCAAAATTCCTCTATTATCACCAATATGATATTTGTTTGACTGTTGTTGAGTAGTGCACACTACACAGAGTTATGTGTGATTCTAGAAGCCTGACCTGAAAGTGATTGCATGACATGACAAATTATAAAAGCCTGCATGGTGTAAACCTGTGTCATGCTCTCTTGAAAGCAATGAAAGCAGCGGTGGTGATCCAGCGCTGGTACAGACAGTATGTGGCCCGCAAGGAATTAAGACGCAGATACACCTGGAACATCTTCCAGTCCATGGAGTATGCAGACCTACAAGACCAGATCAAAGTATGAAATCCACCATAATCTAATCATCCATCAAGGGATGGATGGAATAATTAATTTATCATCAAGAAAACTGTAAACAACATTTATAATGATGTTGACATATATTTTTTTTCTCACCTCTTCACGCAGTTATACAATTTTCTCGGTTACCTGATGGATAACTTCACTCCATCCAGCAGTGAACGTAAAAGAAGCTGTTGCATGTAAACACAAATACCACACATACAGCTTTTCACTGGTATCTATCAATGCTAAAAGCATCCTGTGTGTTCTTCTTCCTCGTAGGAAGTCTGATCTCACATATCTTCAGAGAAAACGAGGTTTGCCGAGATGCAGAGTGGGAGAGATATTTCAACTACACCAATATTGATGTGCCCGACATCTACTCTGGCCCACGGCTAACTTTTCCTTTGGATATGGATCAGGCTGCTGATCTTGTAGAGGCCTTCAAAAACAAACAAGTAGGTGTTCAATGAGGATGCATTAAAAAAATGTTTTAGGTACACTCTCAAAAATGATGCTTTTTTTATTTAGATCTATGGTTTCATAACAAAAGTTTAACATCTATCCTGGCTAACAGGGAACATTTTCAGAACTTTGGCTTATATTCTGGCTAGGTTGAGGAGACATTCTTCCAGCAACGTTTATATAATGTTCGTTCAGAGTCTTTTATAATCTCGAAACAATAGCACATTAAACATTGTAAATGGAATGTTTTTTTCTGGAAACATTTTAGTTGGACGTTCTTCTAACATTTTTTAAATGCTGCTTGTTTCAGAATGTTCAGAGAACATTCAAAAGTAACGCTGCCATAATGTTTACAAAATGACAAAATAGAATGTTTCCTTAACATTTACATAACCAACAAAAACATTTTAAAACACTTAAAGCAGCACTATGCAGGTTTTTTTTTACTGAATAGCTTCGGAGTTATTGCAGTGGTTATATGACTATTTTTGGGTTGAATGTTGGGCGTCTCGCACCCCCTTGTTGCCTGTGAGTGGAAAAAAACACACTTGCAACTTTGAGCCGCCGGCTGCAGCATCAGGAAGTGTCGCGTGATATCAGGTCTCGCGATGTAACAAATCGCTTTACGGGAAGAAAGATCTGATAAAATGAGCATCAAACAGAAATAACCCGGCGCTGTATACATGTGGTGTTCGAGGCGCATACAATACAGACTGCCGACAGTTCAACAGGGCGCAACTCTTAAAGGGGCCACACCTTATTTCCACTCGTTACAGCTTACATCATACTGAACAGGTACCGGTATACAGGGGGAGGGGATCAGGCCGTGAGTGCAGAGACATCTCTGCGTTACGACAGTACAAGTACTCCACAGCGACTCTAAACAAAAACGGAAATCCTGCATAGTGTGGCTTTAATAAATGCGGCAGTTTGAACATTATAAGAACAGTCAGAAATAACTTTTTCAAAACTTAATGCATACTTTTTTGTTGTTGACATTTTTATTAGGTGGTATTGAAACTTTCCATTGCAAAAAAAAAGTTCTTTAACAGATTTTGTAACTTTATTTTATACTAAAAGAGACAGGTCTTAAAAGGGACTCTATCTATAAACACAATTCTCACTGGCCCCGCCACACACACACACACACACACACACACACACACACACACACACACACACACACACACACACACACACACACACACACACACACACACACACACACACACACACACACACACACACACACGCACACGCACACACAAAATAAATATAAATACATAAATAGTATTTTACTAAATAATGTTAAATAAAGAAGTAAACAATAAGTAATCCGATAAGAACTAAACAAATTACAAGCAATAGCACTAATAAATACAAGAGAAAAAAATACTAATAAAATTAACAGATTTCAGGTAGTATATGTAGAAACTAATTACTTATATTTATATTAATTCTATTAAAGCCAAAGAAGATATTCAGTTAAAGAGCAGAGTTTGAGCGGTCAAAATACCAATCTCCCTCAAAATCTTGAGCTGAATTGAACCTGACCTGGTTCAGATATTCTTCACACCAGGAAAAAAAATGGTTCTTTTAAGAAATACACAGTGAGAAGGAACCCACATTTTTGACAACCCAAAAAGGAACTACTGTGCTATTGATGCTAAAACTCCCCTTTGGGACCTTTATTTTATAGAGCAGGGATGGGCAACTTGCGTCCTGGAGAGCTACTGAGAAACCTAATCAAACACACCTGGACAAGATACAGTTATCAATGTTAATCAGGATAACTAGAAATCTACTGGCTGCTGAGTTTTTGTCAGGGTTGGAGCTGAACTCTACAGGACAGAAGTTGCCTAGCCTATCCCTGACACAGAGTGTATGTGACAGTCAGATAACACTAATGTCTTTAACCATGTACACTTCTGGTTTCTCTAAGCAGCAGCTTCACTCTCGTTACGTTCTTCAGCTTCTTCTGGAAACGTGGAAGCTACTCAGAGGATTGCCAAACATCAACCGAGTCTCTACATGCCATAGCAAAGAAATAACTGTTTGTGGTAAGAATGCCCGACACATCCTTTTATCTTTATTTTTATTGTTACACTGTTCAACGCCTCTTCGAAAATTAATTTACGAACTTCATTACAGGTGATTTACATGGACAGTTAGAGGACTTGCTACTAATATTTTACAAGGTAGGTTTCAAATCTGTCCACACCTAGCTACGATATTGTCTTTAAGTACAGTGCATCTATTCCTATGAATTCGTGATCTATTTATTTTCCCAGAATGGAATGCCGTCAATGGAGAAACCCTACGTTTTCAATGGAGACTATGTGGACCGAGGCAAAGACTCCATGGAGATTCTGCTCATATTGTTTGCTTTCCTGCTTGTGTATCCTGGAAATGTTTATCTTAATCGAGGAAACCATGAAGACCACCTCATTAATTTGAGGTAATGGAATTGTGCTGAACACATGCATTCAGTAACACAATATTTATGTAAGAATTGCACATACTCACCACAAGCATTTTGCAGTACCTCAACTAAGTAAATATAATGTTACCAACACTAAATGTAAGAGCCAATACCTTACTTTTTTAATTAAGGGTCCAAGCATGAAGCATCAGTATTTTTTCTACCTCCTCCCCAACCAATTCATAAATGTGTGGGGGGGTTTTCGACTCCCTTGACAGAAAACTTTATCAAAACAATTCTGAATCATTAAATTGGTTCATATATGAGCATGTGAATCAGTATTAATGCATATTAATGGTTTTCAACCACTAGAGGGCTTCAGCAAACTGATTTATTTTGTATAACAACAGCGGCACATATTGGAGTCAAAACGTTTGAGAACTACTGGTCTAAATGAGGTGGTGTACAATTTTTGTGTGAGAATCAGCCACAAGATGGCGCTATAATGTGATCATTTTACATGTCACATTTACAATATAGCACATAACATGAGGGCAAGAATTCTGTTTTTATCTTAATCTTTCAGTGTCCACAAATCAGATTAGATTTATGTCCTTTTTAATGCAAGAAAAAAAATATTCTGCCACTTTAAATTTAATTTTGTTTGGTGATAACATTTCATTTTCTTTTTAAAGGTATGGCTTCACCAAAGAAGTGCTGGGAAAATACAAGGTATGTCATTAATTACATCTGATGTCTGTGCTCTACAGTCCCTCATGTTCCTAACTCTCCGTCAACAGCGTTTTCCAAAAGTTTCTTGTCCACACTGAAGTGACGGAAAGTGCTTAATTTACCTCTGGTGTCCAAGATCATTATTTTTTCCAATTTCTTATTGTCACTCATTGTCATGGATTACAAGATGTTGCAGGCCATAACTAGATCATATTTTCTGTAAGAAAAGGGTCTTATATTGCTGAAAATCATGATTTCTTGTTCTCCGAATTAGTCAGTGTATTTTTTCCATCATGTAGGAGGATTATATATTTTTTTACTCTTCTTTAATATTTCATTTAGCCCTAAATAGTATAGTAGTATAATAGTATAATTTTCCTATTTCTGCAACATTAAATTGTTTTAAAATAACTTATCTTACAGATAACAGTTTTTTTCCCTTTAAAAAAATGCAAAATATATCTCCAATCATAGAGTAGTTATTTTAGAGTAGACTATAGACTCACACGTGTAAAACCTTACAAAAGCTCTCTGATACTGACAGAACAAGACATCATAAAGTTATCATGCAATTTTTCTGGCAGGATCATTTTATTTACAAAATATCTCTCCATTTACTAATGCGTTCAGGTCACTCACTCACAATTATATGTTTGTTCTAAAATGCAACTTCTCTCATGGTTTGCCGCAGGACCGCAAATGCAAGTGAATTTTCTGTCATCTTTGCAGGGCTGTGCTATGAAGTGTGTGGAAAGTAACATATTTTAGTAACTGTGTGAAAGTGAATTGCACATAACAGGCACAATAGCGGTATAAACAAACATGTCTATTGGTTCAATATGTGTTCCATGACTAAACAAGTTTCATTGTTTTCACATACCTCTGTTTTTACAGGCCACAACATACACTATCCACTTTGGAGAGTGTTTTCGTTGATTAAAACGCTGTCTCATTTAGACGGAAGGCCAAAACAGAGAGAAAACGTATTAAAGTGGACAAGGCCTAAGAGTTTATTTATGGCCTTAGCTGTTTATTTCCATTATGAAACAGTAAGGGATATCCCAACACTTTCTTTCCAAGAATGTCACCTCTTAACTGCTTGTAGCCTGCTTAGACTTACAGTTTAAAAGGGGACACTGGTTTGTTCTCCTGCCGTTATTTTCACTGTAAAACTGCCAGTTCTTGGTAAGAGGATTACAACGTAAAGTCTTAAACATTCTTGCACTGTCTCTGGTATGGATTAACTAAATCAACCAACTGTTGACTCCACACATATGCCACCTTAGGACACATTGGACAGATACTACATTTGTATTTTAAAGTATTTAAAAGTACTAGTGGCAGTTAACTAGTTGTTAAATGAACAAACGTTTATGACTTAGTAGAGAATTAAATATATGTCATTTTTAACAATAAAAATATTCTTATTTAAAGGACTGGTGGCTGCTAACTACACATGACACCTTAGTAGGTGTATTGAATATACATGAGTCATTTTTTAACATTGGAAATATTACATATACGGTGGCCGAGAGAGCTCACCGCGCTGCAACCTGATGAAGACGAATGCAAATACAAAAAAAACGTGTGCAACTATAAAAACGCGTGCAAATACAAAAAAAAAAAAAACATCCGCAAATTAAGAAAAACATCTTCATCAGTTCCACAACACTCGTGTGCTCCAAGTACTCACAACACAACCAAATACAGAAACGCGCTGCAAATAACACGGTCTACAACGGAAATGTTTCCGGGGAACCAAATAAGTGACGGACCCAACTGGGACTTGCTTATTGCTCGTGAGCTTCCCTATGCCCTACTCCCTTCAAAGGGCTGACGGCAAAGCTCTTCAAGTGGGAATTTGGCGTGAGCATGACACCTAGTGTGTCATTTATGTAGCCGTTTGGAACTTGATGAAGGCAGCAACAACAGACAATGTAATGTAATTATTTTACCTTGGATGTTCCTATGACAACACAGCACTTTGTCCATCAGCTGTAGCTATTCTGACGACAGAAATATAATGATTAACATAACGGTTGCAAATAAATTATTTATTTTTTATTTTTACTTTATAAAAATCTGTTAAAATATCCGTTTTATGTATCTGTATGTCAGTGCCATACATTACCTAACATTTTTAGGAAACCTTTCTTATGAAAATTTAAACATAAAATGAAACTATTTGTATAGTGTAACTGATGTATTAATATCTTGCCTTCATGTTCTTCTAAATCTTTTTTTATTTATTTAGTTTAGTTTTCAGAACATTGTTCTTTTCTCATTTGTATTGTGATGACATTGAACATATTGTTAACACATGTTGTATGTACACAAGATGTATGACATAATAATTTGAATCTCGGTGTTTTGTGGGGGGAAAGTCAAAAGAAATTAAATAAAACAAAGTAGAATTTTGAGTAAGCAAGGAGTATAGACGAACTATAAAAAATATAATAGTATAATATTATTTAGATATACAATATTATTTTAATAGTATAGTTTATTTATAAAAAATATAGGCTTTGACTTCTTGTCAATAAAGGTTTTTTTTCTGTAAGCACGTCCTGTGGTTCCAGTCGGATCCGTCACTTATTTGGTTCCCCGGAAACATTTCCGTTGTGGACCGGGTTATTTGCAGCGCGTTTCTGTATTTGGTTGTGTTGTGAGTACTTGGAGCACAGGTGTGTTGTGGAACTGGTGAAGATGTTTTTCTTAATTTGCGGATGTTTTTTTTGTATTTGCACGCGTTTTCATAGTTGCACACGTTTCTTTGTATTTGCATTCGTCTTCATCAGGTTGCAGCGCGGTGAGGTCTCTCGGCCACCGTATATTTATCCCTTTAACTGACTTCTCAACCAAACGGTTGAGCATATTTTGAGGATGAAGCCTTGGCCTCGGAGAGAGGTCGTCAGGTGGTCCTCAACCTTCACTGGGTGTTTTGACCCTTAACCACAACAACCTCCAGCTGGCGGGTCAGCAGTGACTGGCCAGGTCACTGCCCCTCTCTTCCAGGCTTCCAGCTTATGTCCTCTCTCTTGTGCCAGAGCCAACAGAAGGCTCTCTCTGACGCATCTCCCAGCCTACGAATGGCTGCTTTCCTTAAGTGCCCCCCCAATCTAACCTTTGTTAATAAATTCCATGCAGATTGAGCAGGGAATCCCTGACATCCGAATTCATCCGTCATCAGCCACGCCATCCACCATTTGTCCCGGCAGTCTTGAACTATTTGCTGATATTTGGCCTTTTTCCTCTCTGCAGCTTCCTCACAGCCCTCCTCCCACGGCACCGTCAACTCCACCAGAATGATCTTCCCTCCCTCTGGAGACCACATGATGATGTCCGGCCTTAGCGATGTGGACAACACCACCTCGGGGAAGTGGAGTTTCCTCCAAAGATCAACCTCCATTTCCCATCCCTGGGCTGACTGCAGGAGATTCTGCCTGGCTTGGCTGTGGATGACAGGTCTTTGACCCTCTTTCACAAAGCCGATAGTACTCAGCAGTGGTCTTGCTTTGGCTGGTTGTTTCTTCCTCCTTTTTTCCTCCAGAATGTCTGCAAGCACTGCCAACACCTTGTCATGGCGCCACCTGTATCTCCCTTGTGTCAATGCGGTCTTACACCCTGACAGAATGTGCGCCGTTGTTCCTTTCCCGCCACACAACCTGCACAGTGGGTCCTCCCTCATCCTCCACCTATGCAAATTGACTGGGGTTGGTAAGGTGTAATACACTGCTCGGAGTAGAAAGGATATACGGAAGGGCTTCATCCGCCACAGTTCACTTCATGTGATTGTCCTCTTGGGGAGGTTCTACCTCGTCCAGGCGCCTTGGGATGTGAGCTCGATGGATTTTGCTCTTCTCCCTTCTTCCTCAAGGTTTCGGACTTCATCCTGGATCATGGTTCTCTTCTCCCTGGGGGTGGACTTTGACCACTGCTGGAAATCTGCTGTTCCTAGACCCTGTCTTCCAGTGCAAGGGTTTCTGATGATATCTTTGGTCATGAGAGAACATTCTGCCTGGGTAATTGCCGTGCTGGTAGCCCACTTACAGCTAGATCTTGTTCTTACTCCTGCTTCCCTGGTGAGTTGGTCTTGAGAGTCCCTATATGTCAGGGACTGTCTACATTTGGCGACTTTAAACTCCTCCACCACTGAAGACAGGGGAAGCTGGAGCTGGCCCGACTTTTTGTAGAGCCCCAAGGATGTAAAGCTTCGGGGTATTCCCAACCATTTTCTAAAGTTTTTGTTGAACTTCCTCTCCATATTTTCAACAGTTGATAGAAGCACCTCGTATACCGTGAGAAACCACATGAGTCTCAAGAGCAGACCATGTTGGTAGATCCAGCACTTGTATTTCCCAGGCAGACCAAACTTGTCAATCTTTTTCAACCATTCTTCAACCTGCTTTCCTGTGCTGGAGATGCTGTTCCTGTCTGACAGGGAATCATCATACCACTTTCCAAGGCATCTTATTGGGTTGACCTGGATGTTCAGGATCTCTTCCACAAGGATCTCTTGAACAAGTAGCTTGAACTTTCCAGTTGTTTTGCCCTTTTGGATCACCAGGCTCCTTGATTTTTTTGGCTTGAAGACTATCTTTGTCCAAGTGGCCATACGATCCAATTCTGTCAGGACCCATCTTGCCTCCTGCACGTGAGTTGGTGTTATCACGGTAAAGTCATCCATGAATGCCCTGATTGCTGGCTGTTGACATCCTTCTGCAGTCTTCGGCCCTCTTGACTTTGTACTCGCTGCAGAGATGATCAGGTTCATTCCCATGATGAACAAGATGGGAGAGATTGTGCATCCTGTCACTATCCCCTTCTCCACTGGCTGCCACTTTGTTGTAAACTTGGCAGACTGAAATCGTAGCTTGATGTCTCTCAGGGAACTGGTGATCATGCCCTGGATGTTATGTGGGATGTGGTAGTAGTCCAAAGCAACTTGGATCAAATTATGGGGAATAGACACATACACTATGCATTTGCAAAGTCAAGCCAGACAACTGTTAAGCTTCCTTTCTTTTCCTTTGCTTCTTGGATGAGTTGGCTGAGGACCCTTGTATGCTCCAAGCACCCGGAGAACCTTTCAAACACCACCCTTCTGGATAGAGGTGTTAATATATCCATTCTGGTCATGTAAGCAGTCATTCTCTTCGTAAGTACAGCAAAGAAAATCTTTCCCTCCACACTAAGTAGGGAGATAGTTCGGAACTGGCTGATCTGTGTGGATCCCTGTTCTTTGGGCACAAAGCACCCTTCTGCCCTTCTTCAGCTTGTTGGAATGGTTCCCTTGGACCAAATGGACCAAATTTGGAATGGATTTGGAATTTGGATTTGGAATGGACCAAATCACCCGCATAAGCTTCCATAGCCTTTGGAGGAGCTTGGGGCATTTTTTGTATACTTTGTAGGTTATACCACTGGGACCTGGAGCAGAAGATGATCTTGCATGCTTGACTACCTCTTGAACCTCTCTCCATGATGGGCACTCTGTGCTGAGGGTGAGAGGAGAGAGGTTCAAGAGGTAGAACCTCTATACCTCTCTCAGTAGGTGGGTCGATGTTAATAAGCCCATGATTTCCTTCCAGGGCATTGTCTCTTGTAGGGTCACTGAACACCTCCTCAACAGACTCCTCCACCACCTCCTTGGAACTTGTTAGAGTCCCAGACCTCGCCTCTCCCAGAAGTGATTTGGTGAAGCGGTAAGTGTCCTTTATGAACTGGGCTGCTCCTTTATGAGCTTTCTGCTTCTTCAGCCTCTGCTTGAACCTCTCAGCTCTTCTTGTTCTGATGAGTTGCTCACGGAGGCTGGATGTAAGCTCTTTTATTCCTTCCTTTTCTGACATGGATATCAGAAATAAATAAATCACCCCAGCCATGTGAACTGTTTTTGGTGAAATTTTTTTACATATTACACTGTAAGAGCCTTAACTTTACAAAATGATGTTACTTGGTGCTATGAAAAAACTTAAAGGTCACCTGACATGGGTTTTTTGTATTATTTTATGTTTCCTGGGCTGCCCTTATAATGTTAGTATGTTTTTTAGATCTAAAATAGTCATAATTTAGAAATAAAAGGCATTTTTCCTAGCCTGATTTTAGCCTCTGCTTAGAACGGTCTGTTTGAAGGGGTGTGTCTGCTGTGGGACTCAATGTAACCGCCCACTGCTGTGATTGGCTGACATGCTTGCATATGAAATAGCTACATATTACATGTGAAACTCTCTTGGATACGTTTTACTACAGCTATTGTACATTTTTACAATTACAGATATCGAGATTACTGATTCGTGAGAAGTTTTTTAAGTATTTAGATTCTCATCACATAAAATGTTGCTGTGATGAGCAGCAGATGACAGTCTGTCGATTGCGAGAATGAAGATCTTATTGTATAACGCAGTTTCTGCACTCTCTGCTTTCACCAATGCAGACACGATGATGTACATACAGTAAAGAGCTTCGTTATGCAGTGTAACGCAGTTTCTGTTCTCTCTAAAGCCCGGAACTCGTCCGCTCTCGTCGAGGTAAAAAGCTGCACTTGAACTCACCGAGAGAACAGCAGCCGACTGTCAGCTATAGCCTAATGTGCGTTCTGCGCCTGCATTTAATGAGCCAACTGTCTATTTCTGCTAATATATTAGTCTATATTCGTCATTCAAAAAGGAAAACTGACGCTGCCGGCTGCAGATACACACAACGTAAACAAAGCAGCGTGCTTACCGTTTTGAATATCAATCGTTGAGTTGAATTTCCAGAGTTGAATCGTTGCATTTCCAGAGAAAATAAAATTAACCCATTGTTTCTTCAGAGGTGCGGATGAAGCAACTAAAAAATACTTTTGTGTTCATTTGTACATCCGAACACTGAGAAACTGCCATGCTTCGCTCGTTTGCAAGCCATGATATTTCTCGAGGAAAAACTCAAATCTCAAAGCTAGGCTATTTCTCTAGGAAAAAATAAAACCGCGCCTGCGCGTGTTCGTACTTCCTGTTCCTTGCTCGTTTTCTCAGTCGGGCCAAATTCTCTGGGTGGGCAAAGCAGAGAAAGGGGAGTAACCTTTCCCCTATATGACGTTATAGTGGGAGATCAGCACGTCTGAGATGCAGACGGATGCAGAGAAGCGAAAAATAGCCAACACCGATTGAAAATTCTAGACACGAGGGGACCAAATACAGTCTAGGCTAGGGGAACTCATATTAATGTTAAAAAACCTCAGAAAATGAAAATTTCATGTCAGGGAACCTTTAAGTATATTTTTAATAATTTTTCAAAAACATGCTCAACCAAACAGTGGATCTGGCACATAACGGTTAATTGTCACCCCCCTTTTTGAGAATGGACTTGTACTTGGTTGTAATTCAAGTATGCTTTGGAATAAATACCTAAGTTTAGTCTTGTTTTAAAGAAAACACAGCTGATTAAAAAAAAATATAAGTATTTTTTATAAAAAATAAAAGTATGAAAAAGTTATGGAAGTTTTAAATTTACATTAAATCAAATTGTAAAATATATATTTTATATAAAAGAAAAAAATATTTTGTACAAACACTTTTGCCTATAAAATTACTATAACACCAAAGCCATATATCTAACCAAACTGTGTTCCAAATTTGAAGTTGATATCACAAAAATTGAAGTTCTCATGAGATTTTGTTTAGGCGTAATACCAAAAATGACATAAATTCCATTGAATTTGATTGTATGCATTCTGCTGTAACAAATTAAGAAATTTCTGTCCAAATATCACTTCTGTTACAAAATATGGAACCTTGAGACTCAGACCTTTCTGACAATGTGTTTTGTCAAGACTAGAAAAGGTTTTGATCATAAATTATGATGGGCAATGAAAAGTATGGCATGTGTATGAATTCCAGTACCATTTATTACCATTAAGTAGCATCTCAACCATTTGGTAGAGGCCGATAAAATTATGGGATGTGTTGAAAAAAAAATACATTGAGTGTGGTTACTAACAACATAAGAAAATAAGAAATGCAAACAAAAAAATTTTGCAAGCTAAGCATATTTTTTTTACATATTATACTTGGTGCTATGAAAAAACTTAAAGGTCCCCTGACATGGGTTTGTTGTATTATTTTATAATGTTTCCTGGGCTGCCCTTATAATGTTAGTATGTTTTTTAGATCAAAAATAGTCATAATTTAGAAATAAAAGGCATTTTTCCTAGCCTGATCACTTTTTCTTGGTGAGGACTTCAAAAGGCTAAACTAGCATTTTAAAGAGCATCATAGGTTAAGCAGATGGGCAATATGATCTTTGTCAAGTGTTTTTTGGCAGATTTAGGGTCAATGGCAAACATCTTTAACGACATAGTTAAACGACAATAACTCAGCAGGATTAACTCATTAACATCGTCAGTATGTGTTATGCTCTGTTCCTGCTCTAAACTTCACATTATGGTGAAATGAATCTGAGGAGCTTCTTATATATCTGTCCAATTCCTTTAAGTTGCATGGAAAGCGTATCCTCAAGTTGCTCCAGAAGATCTTCAGCTGGTTGCCCTTAGTGACAGTAATCGACCACCGGGTGCTGATAGTCCATGGAGGAATCTCAGATACCACTGAACTCGCTCTGATAGCTCGAGTGGACAGACACAGAGTGAGTCAAACAAACAGTTACATGTTGGAAAATCCTGAACATCTCCTTTTTTAACTGATCAATATGACTGTTGTCTTTCTATAGTATGTGTCTGCTATGAAGCCCCCGAAGAAGAGGACTCCATCCCGCAAAAGTTTATATGCAGATTCAGACAATTGTAATGAGATGATCATCTGTCAGAACAGAAGGGGCTCAATGACCTTTCCCAAAACGTTTGCTGCTCGGGACAGTTTCCAGAGACGCTCCCTTCAAGACTTTTCAAAGACTGTGGCTCGGACGGTTGAGGAGGAGTTTGAGGTCCGTCGTAGGCAAGCAGAGTTTAGCATGTCCAGGTTCAGCCAGTCTCACGGCGTTCTGAGCACTGCTCCGTCCTGTGAGTCTGAGCCAGACTCATCTGAGCTCATCGACACCAGCGATGATGATTGGAAACAGGTGGGCGTCATTGACGGTATCTGCTTTGGTACATGTTTGTGGTTTGTTTAGTAGCTACTAAAAACTAAAGTACTAGTAATAAATTTAGTTCTAAAACAGTTAGGTAACACTCTATTTTAAGGTTACACGCTACTACATATAGTATACTACATATAATAATGCATAATTTACTGTTATTACTAGTATGTTATAACCAATTAACCCTAACTCCAGTGCAAGTACATTAATAGTAAATTAACATTACTCAGTTCTTATTTGAGGAAGTACAATATAACTATGTCACCTTAAAATAAAGTAAACCAGTTATATTCTCAACCATTTTGAACCCTTTCCAGGCCACCCATTGCCCATAAAATTATTCAAATGCCCCATGATTAAAAATATATATTTCTACTCAATTTCTAAAATTTTTGAGCTTGACATAACTAAAATAAATTCATGTTCATAAAATGTATCCCAAGGAATTTTGATATTGGATTAATTTAAATGACTTAAAATCACACTTTCATAGGAGGTGAAATAAAATAAGAAGTATGTTGTTTTTAGTTGGTCTTAGTTGGATTTTATTTGGTCTTATTTTGATGCTTGTTTTGTCTTTATTTAAAATTATGTAATTTTGAGGCCCCTTAGTTGGCTCTGGTTCACTGTTTGAGATCCACTGTACTAATTTGATAGTTGTTGTGAAGTTTTGAACCAAATTCATTCATTAATTTCATTAATTCATTAGTTTCAATTAATTCTTCAGTGTATGAAAAAAAAAACAAATGGCATTTGGAGTATTGTACTCATATTACAATTGAAGTCTTTTGGACAAGACGTTGCACAAAAATAAACATTAAAGGGACACTATGCAACTTTTGGCCCTCTAAAGGTTAAAAAACAAAACTGCATGCTTTTTGTGGAAGAACATTGTTTTGTTTGTGCCTCGGCAGTGGTTATACTGCTTCTTGTACAACTGCTCGTTCACTAAGATCTAACCAGTTTAGAAGGAAAGGATCTCAAGCTGACTAACTGAAGATGTTAATGTAGCTATAACCATTGATAGACATGGTACTTCCAGCACAGTGCTACAACAACCACAATGATATGATCCTTCACAATAGATTTGCTTTACACTGAATTCCACACACACAAGTGAGTGACAAATATATGCAATTTCCTGAGAAAACCATCCTGACAGGTCTAAGTGTACGATTACACAACAACAATATGTTGTTTTTCCTTTGAGTTTTCAGCGTACAGACCACACCATTGTCAAAACGATCCCTATTCACACGTATCAGTGAAAAATTCTAAAAGCACTGTATTCTGCTGCCAGGCCATTAAATGGTGATGAAACACTATAGACTGAACATGTAATACGCACATAAACAGTAAAAGAAATGGACACAGCGACCCAATTGATTTCAACGGAGAAGACTGAAACCTGATTATTGCACTTCCTGTCTGATGTCTGAGTGACTGTGCTGGCTCAAACTGAGCTTGACGATAGTCTGGCAGTTGTAAATCTTCTAGTAGCTGTGCCAAGACAAATCTGAATCACCTAATTCCTCAAAAACGTTGTTGAAATATTTTGTCCTGTTGCTTTTATGGACTATCTATCTATGGGCTTCTCCCTTGACTTTGTGCCTCCATGTCCCCCCGATTGCCTCATAGACTGTAAAAGATTGCCTGCGAGCTTTTCTCCTGTCTATACGGTAATGTCTCTATTGTGCGACAGAATGTCCTGTGGTTATGACGAAATCTTTAGCCTATTTTTACAAAAACGTCTTTTACGGTGCCGTAACGTAAGATACAAAATAATGGAGCATTTTATGCATTGTCGTGTTTCTTTAGAAATAAATAATGGACAAATGAAGTCTTTGGACGCCTCAGATGTAAAGTTATTCGCTGTCAAAATGAATGGGAGTCAATGGGATGCTAACAGCAGGTGAAGTTCTGCTACAATGGTGGCTCCCACGAGACTTCAATGGATTACCCCCTTGAATACGCATGTGCATGACGTCATGGTCTTTATCGAAGCTTTAATTTCCGGCTGATGGATTACCGAACCCAACCAGACCGAACTTCCCAACCTCAAATGTTGTGGGCGGAGCTAAGTTTGACTGGCATCCAGGTTAATTTACATGGAGATTGTTTTCAAAAACTTGCACTTTGAACCCCATTTTCAAAAGTTTCCGTTTTCAGGCACTCAAAACGCCATTGTCGTGTAAATGAACGGCCAAAACCCATAAAAAAATTTTTTAGTTGAAAATGGTGTTGCATAAACAGCCCGTTAAATACGAACAATTATAATAGCCCTTAGGGTATACCATAGGGAATCAGGATAACACAAAACCACAGAATGATTGACAATATATTGACTTATTTTTTAAATTTAGTTAATTTTGGGGAAAAAAGTGACATGGTGTACCATTTAAAATACACAAAGTATTATAAAGTATAAAATATTTCAAAAGTAGGCCTATATGCTAATATGAAAGTGTGATAAATTTGTTTATAATCAGGAATATTACTCTTTATTTACCTCTATTACAGGTAATTATGCCAACAGTTAAATAGTTTTACAATCTCTCCTTGCAATTACATTTATACTTTGGTGTCTTCAGATTTTGGACCTACTGTGGAGTGACCCCATGTCCCAGGACGGTTGCGTTCCCAACGAGGTCCGTGGAGGAGGTTGTTACTGGGGTCCTGATGTCACCGAGGACTTTCTGAACAGACACAATCTCCAGCTCATCATCCGCTCACACGAGTGCAAGCTGGATGGTTACGAGTTTTGCCACAATCGTAAGGTCAGCAATGCAGTGATCTGAGGACTTGTACAGTAGTTTGAGAAGGAAATAATAATTACTGTCATTTCGGCTGAAGTTTTTATTAAAATATCTGTCAGGCAGGTTCTGAATAGATTAACATGCTCATTTAAAAGGTGATAAATTGTCTTATTTACATTTACATTCATGTACTTATGATGGCTCATGTTAATTTAGAGTGCTTTTTAGGACACTGTGTCCTGTGAGTAATGTATTAATTCTCTAGATGAGCTCGGAGGAAAATTACTCTTCAGACGCTTTGCCCTTTCATAATTATTATCATAATTTCATAATTATCATTAGCGTTATCTCTTCCTATACCCCCCCCCCCTCGTTTCATATCATTGCTGTGAAACAAATAAGAAAACAAAAGATCCAACTTGTAATTTTTAATATAATATTTAAAATATATATATATATATATATATATATTTTTTTTTTAAATCCTAAAATCATTTCTCATAAATGAAGTCATTGTTTACTTATATTTTAGTTGTCCAGATTGACATGCATCAATCTTTTAGTGCATTTTTTTTTTTTATCTTAAATGTCTAAATATTTTTGGGGATCAGTGTATGTTTGTAGAAATGTTCTTGACAGTTTTTAAAGTTGATTTGATTTATGTATTTTGATTTTCAGGTCCTGACCCTTTTTTCAGCCTCTAACTACTATGAGATTGGCAGTAACAGGGGAGCCTTTGTCAGACTGGGTCCAGATCTCATGCCTTACTTTGTTCAGTATCAGGCCACCAGTATGATCCGAGGACTGAACTTTCCACAAAGGTAATCAACACGCATACCATCATCAGCCATTTGACTAAGAGCTAAGACCTTTTTAAATCCAAGGTCTCTCGTTGTCCACAACAATGTACAAACGACCAATGACCAGTTTTTCATTATAGGACAAGCATTTAGGATAAAGATTTTTTAAAACATACAGTATATTTCTCACATCTTCTACCCTCTAAAATAATTTAGAGATTAGCATCATTATAGAAAATGTTTAATTTGTTTTAAAAATCCCCATGGAGTTACAGTAAAAGATTTGGTTAATTGACATGACTTTTGTAGGTCTATAAATCATACTTTCAAAATTAGGTTAGCTGTTGATGCCGATAGCCTTGTGGGCAGTGTTGCGCTTCGATCTCGTCCCCTTCTTTCTCTCCAACCTCGCTTTCGTGTCCACTCTATACTGTCCTGTCATAAGGAAGGATAGTATATTATAGTATAATAACCAAAATAAATAAAAAAAACTACCTCATGTACATATCCTTATTCTTCAAAGAAAAATTAAATTGAATTCAAATAAGACTTGACTTAGACTTGATCTTTAGTTGTTGAATGCTTGTTTTGTCTTATTTTGAGTCATTTTAAGTCTTTTATCCTGAGGCCCCTAGTGGCCCTGGTGAACCACTGAACTAGGGGAAGGATTTTCATTCACAATTTCAAATGTGTTATTTGGTATGACTTAAGTTTTTTGTTGGAAAATCTACAGCATATGTTGATACAGTCATTTTGGATACAGTTTACAAGTTCATTGTCAAGTTTGCAGCTCATTTCTCGATGTTCTTTCAGTGTAAAACGCACAGAGCACACTGCTCTCAAAGTCCTACGAGAGCAACTGTTTGTGCACAAGTCAGATCTTCTCAGTGCCTTTCAAGAGCTTGATAAGGAGAACACAGGTACAGAAAACTATCTGGTATAAAATGCATATACAGTTAAAACAGTACTGCAGTATTTTGCAACCCAGTGGTGTGATATCACTTCCACTAATATCTAAGGAATATAAATGGAGTTCAGACTGTTTAATATTTAAAAACAATGCATTTCTGGTTACTTAATGGCTAGTTTTGCAGTTGTTCAAATGTCAAAGCAATGTAAATGCCATCACAGGACTGATCTGTTTGTCCGACTGGGCCAGTGCAATCGAGCGAGTTCTTCACCTGGATCTGCCCTGGAAAGTTCTTCAGCCTCAGCTAGTGTCCAGCACCACTGATGGGATGCTGGACTACCACGGCTGGTTCCGGGATCTCGGCATAAAAAATCACAGCTCTGAGGTAAAGCAGATCCCTTGATTTAAAGATTTCCAGAAATGTATCTGTAGAACATCCCGAAAGTCTGTAGACACTTGTGCAGAAAGCGCTCTCTTCTGTTCTCACTATACAGCACATTGAGCAGAGTATGCTGGAGACACTGTATAAACATCGCTCCACCCTGGAGACCATTTTCAGAATAGTGGACACAGATAATTCAGGTATGAAAAAATATTTGCAGGTAATCTTCCAGTGAAAACAACTTGGTTTGCTATTTCTGTAATGTCACGTGAGTGACGGGTTGTCCCGCCCTCACTCCAGTAAACACGTCATCAGAGAAGAGAAATTGTTGCAAGGGGGAGGGGAAGTTATTTTGATTAAAGTTTATAAGCCCACATAAATAATAATACAAAAAATGGGTAACACTTTATTTTAATAGTCCACTTTAGACATTTCACTTACTACATGTCAACTAACTGGCATTAGAGTATTAGTAGACTGTCTGCTTAATATCTGCTAACCCTTTGTTTTGATGGTCCAGAAATTCTACATAAGCAACTACAAATCCTAACCTAACAGTCTACTCTACTCTAGTGCAAGTTAGTTGACATGTAGATGCAAAGTTACTTATAGATGTTTAAAGTGGACCATAAATAATTTATGAATCATTAATAATAAACACTGCATTGCATTTTGATTTCATGGCAGCTTTGACTTTTCCTTGTTGATGACGATTCCTACAGAGAATTAAAGTAGTTGGATGGCTTTCCATAACACCTTCCTATGGCCTATGTTTCTGTTTTTCTCAGGTCTCATCTCTTTTGAGGATTTCCGTCAGACGTTGAAACTGCTCAGTGCCTATCTGAAAATGGAGATCTCTGATGAGGTCATCAATGAGCTCGTCATCAGCACGGACACAAATAATGACGGTAGCATTGATATTGATGAATTCATGGAGGCTTTTCGGCTGGTGGACAAAGGCAGACTTGAGAGAGGTGAAAGTCTATTAAAGTTCAAGCAGGAATATCAGCGACTTCCTCTGGAGGAAGAAACCTCACAAATTGCAGACTCTACTGGCCCGCAGATTTCACAAGGTCCACCTTCACAAACTTCAGGTTCACTTGGTACACACACTGAAGATCTCGGTGACATTTCTGTTGTTGTTCCACCACAATAACTGTTTTCTGTTGAAAAAAAAAATGAACTGTTGTAAACTGTAGTCTTCCTCTTGGTATTTCACCTTCTGGATGAACCTGTATCTGCTTTTTTAGACTTTGAATCTTCTTCTCTAAACCAAATACACTGTAAAAATGAATATGCTTCATCTAATCAATAGAATTATGGCAACAGATTACAAGCAATATTATTAATTAAAGTTAACAAATTAGAGTTGTTCCTTAAAAGTTAACCATTTCAAATGAGTAAAGTTTACACCAAAAAAATGTAACAAAAATATCTCACTACAGACAGACGTCCTCTTTATTTTATATTGCCAACATTGAAGACATCTGAATCACGGAAGGAGAAAACCGTAATCAAACCTAAAACAAACACCGATCACCATAATGGCGACTTAAATGTATGTTTTTTTGGTTGTTGTTGTAAGTTTTACTCATTTTAAATGGTTAAATTTTAAGGAATTAATTCGATTAATTATTACTCCTAATTTGTTAAATTTAATTAATAAGTTTGCTTGTAATCTGTTGCCACAATTTTTTTGATTAGATAAAGCATGTTCATTTTTATGTCTGTTAGCATCAGGTTTACAACGCACCTGGAAGATCTGTGATCAATCACAAATGTTCTCCATGTTTCCTCAATGTGTTCAGTTGTATTGCAAGCTGCTGATCTCTCAAGGATTCCTACATTTGTTCTTATCTCACTGAAAACTTGATCTTTCAAGATTATGAGGCTTTTCGAGTTTGCCTTCATTGCCTCTGACAAATTTGTTTGCATATTCTGTATGAAAATGAGCCATCAGTATCTTGAATAATACACCATAGCATAACTGTTTCGAAACATAGACCATGTTGTTCATAATGGATTTGCCTGCATAAATGTGCTAAGCATGCAAGTAAAAGGCTAGATAGAGTTTTAAAACTCTTTGCCTGAAACTTGTGTGTTTCAAGAGCTATTTTTTATTAAGAGGCATGTTGACGTTAAGCTCTATTGCTGGAAATAAAAGATATTGTCCTAGAAAACATACTAGCCTAAAACATCATGACTGATGTTTTCCTCAGGGAAATGGTTTGGAGGGAGTATACATGGGTGGCTACTTGAAAGTAGTAGTGCTGCAGGGAAGAATATTGGCTAAAACACAGAAACAAGTTAGCATTTTAGAACTTTAGAGCTTCCATCACCATGAAATCAATGGGTTTTTGAATGAGTTTATGATTTAAATGCCTGAAAGAAGGTTTGTGGCTACCAGAAGCTTTTTACATTTTATTCTACGACATAAAATACATCAGTAATAAACCTTCGTGATTTTTTTTAATCTTTTATTGTCTTGGGAAAAGTAGGTTGCTAACAAGTGGCTAATGCTGCTTTCCATTTACCTTCAGGAGCTGGGAATGACGGCACACCCACATCCAGGTGGGAATACACAAAGGCAGTAATGCCAAAATTTCATAGCCACAAAATGGGTTGGATAGTATTGTGTGGATCACTGAGTTTACTGAGACACAGACAAAAACAGAAGTGCTAATACTGTTTAACTACAATTGATGCGCTGAGAGCAGCCATTTTGGATTCTGAAGTCAGGGTTGTCAAGCTGTACCGCGTGAACCATTCTAACGCTTCAAGTAAAACACTCCTCTTGTCTTTAGCTTTTAACTAGGGCTGTGCAAAAATTAATTGCGATTAATCGCATCCAAAATAAAAGTCTGTGTTTACTTAATATATTTGTGTGTGCTGTATATAATTATTTTGTACATATAAATACAAACGCATGCATGTATATATTTAAGAATTATTTGCTCTTAAATTCTGTATACATATATAAATACATAATCTATATTATATAAATATAAATATTTTATATATGAATAACACATTTTCTTAAATATATACATGCATGTGTTTGTATTTATATATACAAAATAATTATATACAGCACACACAAATATATCATGTAAACACAGACTTTTATTTTGGATGCGATTAATCACAATTAATTTTTGCACAGCCCTACTTTTAACCTTTCGTTTGTAAAGATAATCATTTTTATCAAAACTTGTAAGAATTTTCTGCAATGATCCAAAAGCCAATTAAAAAATCCTATTTTATCGAGGAAACTAAGGTGATACTAACTTCTGGTTTGGCCTTCAAAAATACATCATTACTGCAGAACTCCGTACTATTGACATTTGACCTGGATGAAGTATTTAGCTATTCTTTTCTCTTGCTGATGATTCTTGATAACCGTGAGTCACCGCTAGGGGTCGTTACTGCAGTGTATCTGTGTAATTACCTATGGTAACGACTGCATTATCCCTGTCTGCTGGTTCACCCTGGATTCTTTTGTTAACATGGGTTGACTGTGTGGGTAAAAGGCCAGCATAAGTACAGATATCAAAGAGCACTAGTCTTCACATGCCTGGTGTGAGTCACTGCACATCATGAAAAGATGATTTTTTAAGGCTTTGTTAGATCGCCAACTCATAGCTCCCTTTCACATCAGAGATTATCGCTACACTAGTGGTTTCAAAACATTCCTATAGTTGTAGTCAAATGCATTTGTCATGTTAATGGCCAAGACTTTTATGCAACTAGGTTGTTCAAGTGACTTACGCAGAACAAGTTGTTGCTTCATTTAAAGGGAGGGTAGGCAATATCAGACCGGCTAGCAATAGCAAGCTAGCTTTGAAAACATAAGACCCCCTCACCCCCCCTTCACAGTGTCTCTAAAGCCGCGCCTCCTCCAAAACACATAAACTCACACCGCAGAGTTTGCAAAGCATCACTAGACGAAAGACAGCGTGAAATTACCCATGTTTCAAAGCACAGCGCAGTCTCATCCCAAGACGTCATATAACTGATATCTTGGGACGTCTTGTGACCATACGTCAACATACGCCTTTTTAGGGTACCCTTAAATGTCGGTTAGATGACGTTATCGGATCCTAACCCTACCCCAGACCTAAACCTACCCCTAAACCTAACTGAGTTTAAAGGTAAAGCGTCAGTTGTATGACGGCCCGGGATCGTCATGTAACCGACGTTTAAGGGTACCCTAAAAAGGCAGATGTTGACGTATGGTCAAAATACGTCCCAAGACGTCAGTTATATGACTTCTTGGGATGAGACTGTGTTATAAAGCACAGAACAGTACAGTATAGCTGCAAGCAGCAATAAGGGATCTCATGACCTGTAGATGCCGCTGATCAAACTGATCAAACAGATCTCAATCCTTATATTGACTACCAAAGTAGATCTGACTACCATAGTAGATGACATGAGATCTGTTTGATTAAAACATTCTTCCAAATATCTTCATTTGTGTTCAGCAGAACAAATAAACACATAGAGGTTTGGAACAACATGAGGGTGAGTAAATACTGACAGAATTTTCATTTTTGTGTGAACTAACCCTTTAATTAATTTTTTTCTTAATTTAGTTTTATTCTATTTTTTCTCAGTCGCAAAAGTGTGGCTTGCCCACTTCAGGTTGGTGGAGAATTCCAGCCTCAAGTGGAGGAGTTTAATTATGTTAGGGTCTTCTTCATAATTGTTGTTTATGTCTATATGTGATGTTTTTAATATGCTTTAAGACAAACCATATGCATATTCATAAGTCAGCAGCACCATCGCAGAGTATTTTCTCCTTAAAGTGCTGTGACCCAAAGACAGTCTGAAAAACCAAGTTTGAAAAACCAAGTTTGTTTCTGACGTCACAAGCTACCTTGTAACCAATCACGTCAACACGTGGAACTCTGCGCTGGTGTGAGTGATTTGAGGGAGGAGGGGGTAATTTGCATATTCACAACCATTTATAAAATGAGGCAAGGGTGTAGTTACAGAGCCGGCTGCAGAAACAAACCAATGGACGGGCATTTAATATTGGGCCTAATTATGACATCCAATACATTTTTCTATAGGACAAAAACCAACTATTACGCCGATTTCAAGTAGCCTACCAGGCGTAATTTGCGGGTGGGATATGTCCCCACCGTCGATATTGTACCCACTTTTGAAACATTCCGGCACGAATGTACCAATACAAATAAACAAAACATCTTCAGTTAACTAGCAGAGCATTCGTTTCGTTCGTTTTTTAAATAAGAGACGATCTAGTGCTGAAATGTGTTTTTAAAATCAACTGTTCAAATTAATGCTCGTTGCCGCTGGCGCGGATAGGCTAATGTGTTTTTTTTTTCTGGCTTGCGCACAGTCTTCACTCGGACGCGCAATCCGTTGTGGAGAGACTCTATTCATTACGGTGAAATTAAAACACAAAATGTTCTGAAGATGTTTTGTCTGTGCCTGATATACAACCACTGATAAACATAATCAGTTTTGATGGAAAAAAAAATGTTATTAGAACGGATTAGAACCCAGAATCTCTGGCACGCTTGGCAAAAGTTCTACCCCTGGACCATTATTTACATTCACGTTTAATACAAATATAAAGGCGTAATTGAACGACCACATAAACCTAAATCAATAACTATTTAAATCGATTAAAGGATATCGTAATGTTATTGTACATATCTGTTTTATGATTTAGCATTGTGTCAGGGCTGGTGCAACTTAAGAAGAGTAAAAATAACTGGCCCACTCATGTTCTTAATACAGCTGAAGTCGACGTTTTTGGGAGTGGAATCTCCGCATTAGTTATTCAATACATTATTTTTATTTTTAAAATAAATTTATTTTTAAAATTTATTAATTGCAAATTGCATGGAGAGGGGGGCACAGGCGCTCGGTAGGGGCGAAAAATTAAGGCCCGCCCAAAGCTCCGGGATAGGGCCATGAGACTTAGACCTGAGTGCAAAAATGGAGGCTCTAGCCCCTTCCAGAGCTGAGATATCGAAACTCAAAAATTCGGCCCGAAAAAAAAAACGACAGTGGTACCCCTTACGTTTTTTTTTTTGGGCGAAAAATTAAGTTTCTCCAATCTTCCCAAAACTCTGGATTCTGATAGAGGGCCATGAGACTTAGACCTGAGTGCAAAAATGGAGGCTCTAGCCCCTTCCAGAGCTGAGATATCGAAACTCAAAAATTCGGCCCGAAAAAAAAAACGACAGTGGTACCCCTTACGTTTTTTTTTTTTGGGCGAAAAATTAAGTTTCTCCAATCTTCCCAAAACTCTGGATTCTGATAGAGGGCCATGAGACTTAGACCTGAGTGCAAAAATG